ACAGAAGAACGATGTGGTATGCTCGGTAATGGGTCAACTGTATATCTTGGATTCTGCAATCTAATCTTTAAAAATCACTCATAAATATATCTATGTAGGTCCTCATAGCGAGCGGCCCTTAGCAGGTGCCTCAACGTAAAGCATACCATGTTTAGCAATGCACTTTTATCTGTTTAGACATAAACTGGAAAATGTATTTTAATTATATCTTGGTGGACGAGTTTTCATATGTTTCACGATCGTGTGTCAAAGGTCAAATGATCGTTATAAGTCACAAGAGAAGTAGATATAGAAAAATGCAGACTACATTACCGGATGAGGTTCATTCCTTAGATTTTGGTGTTTTGTTTTTTAGAGCAAAGCCACACTGGGTTATCTGCTGTATCCACCGTAGAGGAATCGAACCCCGGATTTTAGCATTGTAAGTTCGTAGACTTATCGCTGTCCCACCGGAGGACTTAATCCTTGGAACTCGATAAAACACTTCAAGAAATAACTCCTTCTAATGATTTTCAAGTATTTTTGTTATTATGCAATAAACTGTTAAAGTGTTTTGGATTTTACAATAATTTTGAAACCTTTATACATTACATTTAAATCCATATTGAAACCTTTAAAATATTACTCTTGAAAATTATTTCAAAAATATTAGGTAATAAGTTGAAAATTATATTTTAGCAGTGATAGACTAGAGGGAAGGCAGCTAGTCATCACCACTCACCGTCAACTCTTGGGCTACTCTTTTACCAACGAATAGTGGGATTGGCCGTCGCATTATAACGTTCTTGTGGCTGAAAGGGTGAGCATGTTTGGTAACAGGGATTAGAACTCGCGACCTTCAGATTGCGAGTTGAGCGCCCTAACCACCAGGCCATGCCAAGCCTCCTTAATGGTCTACGAATGCCATATATTGAGCGAAATCGAGGCACATCTAAATATTGATTTATATGCATTACATAAATCACCATCAACAACAATTTAAATCTTCAACGGAAGCAATGTCAAAAAGCTAGCTAAATAAAATAAAAACAATTTGAAATAACTTTAGGCATTACGGTAATCGTAAAACTTGTCTTTACCTTAGTATATTAGTTCAAGTTTAAGACTATCAGGACAAAAGTTCTTTAACTCCACTGACCCATAGTTGTTCAACCCAAACTCTCCCACGTAGCGCATCTTGTTTGTAACAAATACAAGAAACTCGTGTGTTTTCTCATGCCTTCATGGTAGCTATATCAGTCGTTTTTATGATATTTGTAATCGTGAGTAAAGTCCGTTAAGGGAACGAGATTTTGCCCCTGTAAATGTAAACACGGTGAAAGTCTACATAAACTGTCTTGTTCATCTATTTCGTGACCTTGGGTTGCACATGATACATTTATAAGGTCCACACTATTTCTAGCTAGTTGACCTGTAAATCTGAAGAACCGGAAAAAAACAAACAAAAAAAAAACAAGAGAGAGAGAAAGAAAAAGTAGTATAAATTACATATCTGCCGTTGAAGCTGCTAGAAAAAAACAAGATATCAATTTCTACTTGTATGAAAGATGGTGTAATCTAGATTACAAACGCATTCAATCTGTGCATTTGTGTGCACTATAATTATTTATTTTTATGTACCACAGCACAGTAAGAAACTATGAGATTCACGCTTTGTAAACACATGTCGGAAGTCTTTGATTTTTCTTGTTTGGTTGGTGACACCACTGATTTATTCTGCTTTGCATCATCTTACGAATTTTTATGACACAGAAATAGTGTGTTATGAACAAAAATGATTTTTTTTTTTACTTTTACCATATTTCAAACTCTATGCTCAGGATTTTCAGGGTTATAGAGCAATGTATGTTTGATGATGTAATTCTGTTCTTATAATTAGATTAAAGTAATTTAATTTTTTTTAAAGTTATCCAAATACGTGCGTGAAAAATGAAAAATAAGTTAGAATAATATTAAAATTATGCTGCTAAGCTATTGTGTGTTTTATCAACAATTTGTTTTCATAAACAAACAACAACAACAACTAAGGTTATTGTAACAAGAACTAAATATTAACGGTAGCCTAGCCAATTAGACCTGAATAATAACATATTACTTACATTCAAACAGTATTACTTTACTACTTACATTTCACTGGTTTATTACTACTAAACTAACGGGCTTGTTTCTATAGCAATAGGGCTAAACGTGGCACCGTGGTTAGCGTGCCGGGCTGTGAGGCGGAAGTTCCGTGCTTTATATCCCGTTGTTATAAAAAATAACAATAAAATATAATAAATCGCGCTCTGCACTTTGGAGCCGTGGGTGCGTTATAAGAGTAACGTCATATCCCACTATTCGGTCTAACAAGAGTAGCCCACGGATTGGCGGTATGTGCTGTTGACTAATGCCTACTCTTTAATCTATCAGCTCAAAATTAGAGACGGCTAGCGCAGCTCGCTCTCATATAGTTTTGAGCTAATTCCAACAAAGTATAACAGTAGCTTCGAATAAGCTCACGGACGAGCAATAAGAATTCAACTGGAAGACTTTCATTGATTAAAACTAATGAGTTTATCTTTTTAAAAAAATCATTATCGGTGTACACTTAGAACAAATCAAAAAATTTATAAATTTTATTACGTCACAAGTGCTCGAGACATACGAGGGCCCCCCAATGGCACAGCGGTATGTTTGCAGACTTACAACGCTAGAAACCGGGTTTCGATACCCGTGGTGAGCATAACACAGACAGCCCATTGTGCAGCTTTGTGCTTCAGTTGAAACAAACAAACAGACACACGAGGATTTTCCTGTAAAAGAATCAATATCCAACCCAGACTATATTTGGTTTTTATCTATCTGGTATACAACTGCTGAATTATGTGTACATTCACAAACAGTGTACATATTTAATCCCTCCCATCGACTACTGGCGTTGTATACACTGAAGTCTTCTTAATATCATGCATCACTCATTACACTAGTAAGCAAAGCAAGGAGGAACAAACTTAATAAAATAGATTTATAAATTGATATATAGATCATTTGAGAACTGCTACAAAATAATTCAATGTAAATTACATGAACCACGCACTGGTCAGTGGTGAATAGCCATGTGTAACTGAGAGACTTCTTATCCCAAACTAGTTGAAACATATAAACATTGAAACACATGTACATTCTCTAATTCTCGCCTCTTGTCTAACGTACGGTGTTGACATCTAGTACAGATTTCCTTGTCTCCAGTAACTGTGTTCAACTTTAACACTCCTCTCTTGTTTTCTTCAGTACGTGTTCAATTTTTACATACATCTCGCCTTCCCCACCGAGTACTTGTGCTCAGATTTAAAACAGTCCTTATTTTCCCTCAGTATATAGCTGTGTTTACCGTTAATATATACTGTTTCCGCAGTAAAGGTGTTTGGCTTTAATACTCATGTTTTGTCTTTCTCAGTAACTATGTCATGTTTACTACCTTCTTATATTTTCTTAAAAACTGTGCTTAACTTTAACGTTAATTTCTTATCTTTCCTATTAAATTGTGTTCTCCTTTAATATTAATCTCTTGTCTTCTCTAGAAACTGTGTTCAACATTATCAGTCATCAAGTCTTCTCCATTAACGTAATTATATTCTACTTTAACACTCGTTTCTTGTTTTACCAATATCTTTATTGAACTTTAACGCTTATCTCAACCTCTCCAACATTAGCACACATCTCGTCTTTTCCAGTAAATGTGTTCAACTTTAACAAAGTTAATTGTATCATCTTTAATTCTCTTATTTCTCCATTAGTTGCACCATTATTAATACCCTTCTCATATCTTCCTAGTAACAGTCATCTTTAATACTTTTATTTTTTTCAGTAACTGCCATCTTTAATACAATTATTTTTTCAGTAACAATCATCTTTAGTTCTTTTATTTTCTCAGTAACTGTCATCTCCACTACTTTATATTTTTCAGTAACTGTCATCTTTAGTTCTTTTATCTTCTCAGTAACTGTCATCTTCAGTATTCTTATCTTCTCAGTAACTGTCATCTTTAGTAATTTTATTTTCTCAGTAACTGTCATCTTTAGTGCTCTTCTCTTATTTCCTCAATAACTGTTTAACATTAAAACGCACCTATTACATTCCCCAGGAGCTATGTTTAGTTCCAGTATTGTTCTCTTATTTGCCCTTTGTTTAACATTTTACCCAGTAATTTTACTCAGTTTTCTTCCTTATGTTTTCCTGCAACTTGTTCAGTTCTAATAACAACTTCTCGTTGTCCCTCATATATGTTCAAAAATGCTAATCTTTTGTTTGCTATTATTAAGTATTTTCTTTCGAAACTATGTTCTTGGATGCCATGCAAACGTTTTCACATGAACTTTCCTACTAGAGGACAACAAGAATTGAACATTTTATAAATCAACTAGTAACTTAAGGTGGTTAAGAATATTTCATTTTCAGATCAGTTCGACTTAGTGTATCTGAGGACAAGATAACTGATATCTTATGAGAAATGATTATCTTCGAGTTGAAGCAGGAGAAGTTGCTATATCTTTGATGCGATATGTTTACTCCTTTCCAGCATTCTAAATGACAGCAGTATATCATTATTTTATAATTACATAGTAACTCAAGACTACAAGAACAATACCGATAATATTTGCGAAACAATATTAAACTTGATATAAATATTATATTTGATACGATTTAACAAATGATACAAATATCAGAAGAATTTTTGGTCGCAATTTGAGAACAGGTAAGGGTAGGACTAGAATTGCCAAGTACTAGATTAGGTCACAAAAACTTACATGTCTACTACTAGTAGTACTATAAACTGGTTCTGTAGGCAATGTAAATGCTGTGTTAAGTCTCTTTTATGTGCTTCAGGTCACTTACGTTAAATTCATTAAACATCGCTGAGTATGAACAGTGGATATAAACTTAACGCTTATTAGGGAAAGGGAACTTATTAAAAATTGGATATTTTAAAATAGGTAAGAAAGCTATGGCACAAAACAAACCTTCCATCCAGCGGAGCTGTTACTGTCTCCTTTATCCTTGAAATACGGCACATTCTGCACCATCCAGTCGTATATTTGGGACAGGGTTAATCGTTTATCTGACGAGTTCTGTATAGCGTGTGTGATGAGATCTGCGTACGACATATTTCCCCACGCATTTCGGCGAGACGAACTTTTTTTAATTAGTTGGCACCCTAATATGGCGTCAGATGGTGATGACTCTTGTGTAGGATTACTACTGTTTATATTCACAGGAGGTTTTTCATCACTGTCTTTGTCACCAAAGTTTTCTGGTCGAGGCCATGTATTTGACCGTGCCCGAAATTCGGCCTGGGGCTCAAAAATAGGATCGGTTCCAAGCGTTTCCATTTCAGTAATATAAAATTTTATTCCAGAGAAACTTAGAATGACTGCGTCTCGAACATACGTTCACTAACAGAATAACTACTTTGATAAATAAATACAACTCTTAATTATCTATAAATTGTTCTTACGTTAATTTTCTAGGGTTGTCATACAGTTTCCAGTGTTCCAGAAAGATTATCCTATTCAGAATCCAACCATACATCATTGTGCAATGCCGTCAGATCGGAGTTGATAAAAAAAGGAGTTTTGACTTTCAATTCCAAATTCATACTCAAGTTAGCTTGCATGGTATGTAGAGTTTCGTAGGGAGATAAAAATAAACACGATATAAAAAATCCTTGGATTATCGCTCCATGAAAATTTCAGAAACGGAGTCTAATTAAATCAGATCATCCTGATTACTTCGAAAGGCGTAGTAGCACGTGCTAACAACTATCGCTCGTCTCTTCAAAATAAAGCTGCCACAATATCCACGAATGACTGGTGTAACACCGAGGTCACGCTCGCCTTAGTAGCTCAGTCAAGCTGGTTACAACAGATTTTACAAAGTTAGCAGATGCTTATTATTCTTTCTTTTAGATTAACCGAATTAGACTGATAACCGCAAATAACCTGTTTTAGTCTGAGCTTCACACCGCACATGGCTTCAACAACACTATAGTAATTTCCACAGCGTTTTGCACTTTACAAACACGCACTTTACAGCGCCACGTGACTACATAGTAACGCTTTCCTGCTATTGGTTAATTTCATCACGCTCGAGTACTAAAAGTACTGCGTCTCTTCTAGCATAGGCTATTTTTTGTTTCATACGCATCGGTTTCATTCATTATTTAAACAAAGTTAACATATTATAGAAACATTCTTAAAAGGTTTAGCGACAAGCATTACTAAGAAATCTTGAGTAAATATAGTTATAATAGGCTTTATTTGCTTTTGAAGAGTATATTAAAATATAATTCATAGATAATGAAGACTCACGTATGTAAAGAGCGAAAATCTGTTAAGAATGTATTTTTCTAGATGAAATACTACAAGTGCATTCTTGAATAAAATCCGCTCCCCCCAGTGGCACAGCGGTATGTCTGCGGACTTACAACGCTAGAATCCGGGTTTCGATACTCGTGGTGGGCAGAGCACAGATAGCCCATTGTGTAGCTTTGTGCTTAATTACAAACAAACAAACAAGAATAAAATCCCTGATTTGACTTATAAGAAGTGTAAAATGTACCAAATAGATTCTTGAATGCAGCCCATATTTTGATAAACTTTTTTATTTGCTAGACGTCGAGGTGAAGACATTAGGTCAGAACGGTAAAATGGAGGGGAATTTCCAGATTTTGAGATTTCACAGAGGTATAGTTGGAGATTACATTTGGATTCATAAATTGTGATATCAAATACTCTTCTCGTTTAGCAGATCTAAAAATTAAACCAGTGATCGACAAAGCTAACTTCCCCAAAAGAAGGCCGAAGGGGTCACCTGTTTTAACCACTCGCACCACTATAGGGTAGTGTGTTGTCAGTCAGTCAATAAACACTAAAATGACGTCACATAAGGAACGCTTAACGTTGCAATTTGTACCGTCGTGGCGTCAGTAGAACATCCGCTTCCCATG